ACGGAGCCTCAGCTGAGGAAATACCTCCATGAGATCCAGCTGTAGGGTATTTTCTCATTTAGTGATCAATACAGGAGAGCTCAGCCCACATTGGGTCCTGGGTTCTTTAAGAAGGCAGTCTGAGCAAGGAAGCCATGGGGAACAAACCAGTAAGCAGCACCCCTCCATGGTCTCTACATCAGCTCCTGCCCTGCTTAAATTCCCGTCCCAATTTCCTTAGATGATGAACAGCAATGCTGAGGTCTAAGCCTAATAAATCCTTTCCTCCCCAGCTTGCTTTTTGATCATGGTGTTTTGTCGCAGCAATAGAAACCCTAACAAAAACAGCCTCTATGACCTCAGACAGCAACTGAGTCACAGACCTGATACCACAGTCATTCCACACACACAAAAATATATATATATATATATGGAAAAACCATGCCAGGCATTGGTGGTGCACACCTTTAATCGCAGCACTCGGTAGAGAGAGTTAGGTGGATCTGAGTTCAAGGCCAGCCTGGTCTTAAGCTCAGAAAAGAAACCCTGTCTTGAAAAAGCAATCAGATAGCCAAATTTCATAGAAAGGTGTGATCTTTGTACATAAGGACACAAATAAGAAAACAACTGCAGACAGAAGAAGACAACCTGCTGGCTGCACCAGGCCAGGATACACAAAGAGCTTGCAGCAACAGCAGATCTGAGAATGGAGCATGTTCTCTAATGAGAAATTACCAGTGACCAGAAGATGCCAGCCCTGTGATCCAATAGGGAATGGCAAGAATCTCAACAAGAGAATCCATCCATCCGTCCTTGGGGAGGACCATGGCTTACACAGAGAGCTGGCATGGCTGAGCATTCCCAACAACAGGTGAAAAGCTCCAGGGCTGACCCATGGGTCCCATGTCTGTAACTTCCGCAGGACAGCCTGACATGCAACAAACCTGTCTGCTGCCAGTGTCCTCTTGACAAATCTCATCCTTTCTGACAACAGGGTGTTTAAAGTAGCCTCTGAGAGTATGCTGAGTGCAGGAGACAGGAGGGATGGACCTCAGGTGTGGCTGACCACACGCAAACATCCATGGTGCTCTCTACATCCTGATAAACATTGTTAGATTCAGCATGGTTCAGGCAGGTCAGGAATGGCGGCTCAGCCACCTCAATGATGTCCACAATCAACAGACAACATTAAATGAGGGATCTTTAAAAAGGCACATACAAAGTCACCCACTGGCCAGAGACAAAAGGGCTGGTATGAAAAACCTGGTTTCCCCTGGGAATGACTATCCAGTCTCTAAATAGAGCTGGCCCTGAAAGCCCCAGAAACACATGAATAGATGTGCATGGAATGCACCACAAAGCAAGGGGCCCTTGCCCACTAACCCATCAGAACCTAAGCCTGAGATCCTGAGAGGTTACCTAGCCATTGTGGCACCCTCAGTCCTGAGATCCAAGTATAGTATGGCAACCAGAGCCTGTGTTTTTTTTCTGCTGTTGTTAAGGTGGGGGATGCCCGGTAATCCCGCCAGGCCTCCAAGAACACTGATGTCTTGTGCTTTAGATCTCTCCCATTCTGATAACGTCTCAGGACCATGTATATCTGCACGTCACATGCAGTTCCACACATCAGGGATACGGTGGCAGGTAGATCTGAGTGCCTCCAGTGTGTCACCTACATGTCTAGCAGCCACCCAGAGCAAGATGCAAACCACAGCTGTGTGACTGGCCTGGCGCCACCCTGAGGCTGGAGATGGTGGAGAATGGTGTAGGCCTATAGTCAGAAAGCTCTTGATTACACTAGGTCCTGGCTCAAAATTTTTCCAGTGTGGTGCTAAACTGACACTCCTCCACAGCAATGAATCCTCAGCAAATCTCCCCAGGAGAGATCCATAAGGCAACGTGGGAACACAACCTGCAGACCACAGTGCTGTCAGGGCTCTGAGCTGCAAACTCAGAGCAACCCCTCTCCCTGTCTCAGCATGCCAATATCTACAGCATGGGTGATAAAGAGGCAGGACCATGCTCAGCTTAAGCACTGTTGGTGTGACCACAGCTCAGGCTGCTCCCTCCAGGGAACTCACTCCTGACAGAACACAATTCCCTGGGCCAGCCTTTGTCCTGGGAGTGTGTGCACAGGCAGGAAACCACCATATAGATGTGCATACAGACTCCAAGAGAGAGCCTCACCACTTGAGAACCCGTGATGAGTTAGTCAGAGCCAAGAACTGCCCCAGGACATATGGGGACCTAACACTGTGCATGATCAGCAGCCCAGAGACAACAAGGGGTTCATGACAGCGCCTGACCTGCAGCTCATATGAAGCCCTAGGGATCCCTGAAGAACACTCAGGGACAGAGAACTTCAACTACTTGTCTTGCACCTTCCTGAGGTCCCAGGACAGTACCTCTCCCCTAGGGACAGGACGTAGGGGCAGAGTTGCCTTGGTACCTGGCGTGGTTGTGGGATGAAGCAGACCTGTACACAGACACCTTGAGCTCTGGGCCCAGAGGGCATGGTGGCACAGGAGCAACCAGCTCAGCCTGTACTTCATCACACCCGAGGGCTGCTGGAAGCTTGAGAGCCCCTCCCTAAGGAGCCTGAGAAGCAGAGATCAAGCTCATAGTGCAGCCCACCCCATCTCGCTGACACACTTGACCAGCCAGGTGCAGACACAGCTCTGCTTTTGAAGCAAAGGAATGTGCTGGGTGCCGCCCAGTGGCCCTGATTCATCCCACCGTGGCTAAAGTAACTAAGAAACACCAGGAGTTTGACACTCCCTTTATTTTAAATGGTGCTTGGCCACCCTCAGCATGAGGTCTGTCCAAGGACACCAGGACACAGATGATAGCCCCACCCTACGATGTGCCTCAGATAGACTGGGGGACAGCAACAGGGGAAAACAGCCTCCACCCAGGCCACTGCACAGCGCCCCAGTCTAGGAACTCCGTGTTGTCCCACCCCTGAAAACTGGGAATACCAACAGCATGTAAGGACACAGGGACATCATATCTGACTACAACCTTGCAATCAAAGTCAGACCACCCTGTCCTCTGACAGCCAAATGATTCTGGCTACTGGAGGAGTAGAGGGGACTTATCACCACAAAATCAAGACCCTACCTATGCTCAGAGCACTGTGCTTTCCATGGCATGATACACTCACCAGTCTCCCCAGCCATGAACACAACAGGCTTCAGTGCAACCCTCAGAGGGCTGTGGGGAGCTGGGTTAGGAACAGTGCCTAGGAACCAGAGTCCAGCCATCCCACATGTCTGGCCAGCAGGGAGATGCCCACAGATGCCACGGACACTTGTGACACTTGTGACCAGCCCAGAAGTGGTTCAACTGCCCCAAGACAGGTAACAGCCCCCTGGCCCGTGCCTAGACCATAGCAGGAAGGACTGCCGTGTGTGTCCTAATGCTCAGTCACTGAGGGCTGCAGGGAGGAACTCACGGCTGAGACTTGGCGTGCTTACAATCCACTGAAATGGTACCTGGTCCCATGAGGCCGCACACCTGAGCCAGTCCCCAGAAGTCCCTGCCAACAGAATGGTTCGTTGCCACTCTCAAATCTCCTGCAGGCCTGATATAAACTAGGACTCAAGACTTGGGGCTTCAGAGGGAACAAGAACCCTAAGCAGCAGAGGCCTTTTCCAACAGAATGAAGTGTGATGCTCCCACACTACACATCTGGGCCTGGGCAGGCAGTTTCAGTGTTAGTTTTTATTCACAAGCATGAGCCTGAAAACTGGGAGACAGTGAGCCTGGAGCTCACTGCAGCCAGGTCAGTGAGAGGCCATGTTCTCACACGGTAGGACAGAGAGCCACTGAGTCTCTGAAGACACACTCTGGCCTCCACGTATGCACATGTAAGCATACCCACATACACAACTCAGGAAAACATACTCTCACTGTGCCACCATTCAGGGGTCCACAAGGTATCACAGACCTCCAAACAACAGAAAGAGGGCGTGTAAGAAGGTTCACTGGGTGAAAGTGCTTGCTGCCAACCCTGAAGGCCTGAGTTCAAGCTAAAAAGTCCCCTGGTAAAAGGAGAGAATCCAATTACCACAAGCTGTCCTCTGGCCTCTAAGTGAGTGCGTGTTTGCACAAGCGTGTACACAGAGTAAATACTTATAAGAAATACAGAGAATTATAAAAAAAAAAAAACTGGCACAGCGCAGATTCCCAGCATACAGAGTGAAAACTATGGAGGAAAATGCCTGGGTGCCCTGTGCCAATGCTGACTGCTGTGTGCCGCTGAGGGAACAGGACAGATGCAGGCTGTTGAAAAGAATTTCCTTTCTGCATGTCCACTACTCCTGTATGCCCCACGTACTCAGGAGCACTGACAACACTTCTCCAGCCTCCCCACTTGCCAGCCTAGGGCATTTAGAGAATCAGTAGGTCTGTGCAGGAGAGTGGGGTTCTTTCCTAACTCCATAGCCTCAGGCTCAGAGGGATAGGAAAGTCTTAGTTGGGGGACACACCACACAGCAATTACAAGTTCTCCCCTTGGGTGTTGATAGTCTACAAACTGGTCCCCTACTGAGACTGCTCCTACAGAGAGTAGCTAAATGTGCTTCCCTGTCACACTGTGTGCGTGCATAAACATCTCCCCACCTTGCCCAGCTGTATGCAAAAACCCCGCCTCCCTGCTCAGCTGCATGCATACCCCCACCTCAGGCTGCAATTTCTGTTTCTCTGAGTCCTGCCCAGTTCACTGGATTGGAGAGTTCTGTGTCCTTCTCCATTCCCACTCTGCTCCGTTAGATCAGGTGGCCTAATATCTACTTGCTCCTCTGGGCTAATAGGGACTGAAGCTGGTTCAACCTCCAGTTTTGCTTCTGCTTTTCTTCCTGTCAATGTCCCCCTAGGCAGTGTGGGCTGGGACCATGATCCTTGCCTTAGCTTCTGAGCTGGGCTGACAGATGCTTGCCCCAACCCCATTTCTTTCACACACTGTCCTGCTCCACCCATAGTCACAGATACTTTCCACCCCCACCCACCCAGTCTCTCACCTTGTTTTTGAAGTACACTTCGATGAGCATGATGAAGCCTGCATAGCCCGATTCCTCCACTTTGTAGGGGGGCTCCTTGCACACTGCAAAGAGAGTAAAAAAATCTTCCATCAGCCCACCACTGCCCCTCCAGGTCCTTAGGCTGCTCTGCAGGAGACCTGGCTCCAGGGACACTGGAGCTCCAGGCCAGGGCTTCTGGGAAATGACAGGGCAGAGCAGGGTCAGGAAGAAGGCAAGGCAGAGCCTCTGCATGGTCAGCAGAGGGTATATCCAGTGACAAGCACCTTGGCACCAAGAATGCCAGGCAAGGGGCTCAGGGGCACCTTCCTAAGATCCTCAGACACACCAGCCTGAAAAGCCTGTCCTACTGTCTACCCAGTCTCCATACACCCTGCCCACGTGACGCTGCTCAAAGACAGTAGTCATGGAAGCAAAAGAGAAAGGAGAAAGGAAGATGAAGGGGACAGGGAGCCGGCAGGAGTCAGAAGGAGATGATAATGACCTTCTACACTTTGTGTGACTGTGGAGACTCAGCAAGCAGGTGACTTGTGGGGCTTAGGAACCCCTGAAGGCGTGACTGGGCGGACAGCTTTGCATGGGACCCAGGCACGCAACTGCAAGGGCTAGGCTAGCCTGTGGCTCCTCAGGACTGGAGCTGCAGGGCAGGCATGTGACAGGCAGGCCCAAGACTCCCTTCTCCCTCCTCTGCCATGGCTGGGCTGTGCAGCACACTCACTGTTTCCTCCAGGGTTACCCTGTGTTCCCTGTCCTAGCAGTAGCTTGGGGACACCTGCACCAGCACTTCCTGGGGACAGCAGGGTCTGCACATGAGTCACTACAGCCACAAAGTAATGCCTATGCTTGTTCATTCATTCTCCATTCACCGCAGTGTTCCTGGGGCAGAGGGACTAGGACAATGTCAGGCCACTGCAGCAACCACCACCCCTGCTTTTTCCTGGGAGGGCAGCATCCTTGAACTGATGGAGGTGGAGAATGTGGCTCAATTCCTGGTTCCCACTAGTCTGGTTTCCATTCCCCATACAGGCTTCCTGCTGGAGATACCTTGGCCTCCTGGTGCCTGAACTGTTTGTTCTTCCTAGTGTCCTCAGTCTTGATGCACGTCCCTCCACTGTTTCTCCTAGTATCCTCAGTCTTAAAGCACCACACCCCACTGTTTCTCCTAGTGTCCCCGGTCTTAGTGCACATCCCCCCACTGTTTCTCCTAGTATCCCCAGTCTTGGTGCCTGTTCCCCCACTGTTTCTCCTAAGGTCCTCAGTTCTGGCTCCCCCTCACACACTCAAGGTCACCCGGCTGTTTTCTGGTCAAGTTCCAAACCTGCCAACACTCACAATGGGCCCACTGCGCACTAAGTGCTGCAGGTAGGGTTTCTTTGCTGTTACCCACCCTGTACTGTCCGGCACCAGGTCCTGCTGGGCAGCTTCTGCTCAGTCAATCAGCCAACAAACCAATCAACCCATCACCTGAATCCTGCACTTGGCTCCCCTTCAAGGTGTCCACTGTGGCTCTCCACCACCCCAGGGACCACCTCCTGGCTCCAGCTACCTGCAAGGTACTTCACCACTCTTAGACTCTCCAAAGATAGGCACTGGTTCCTAGGGCCCAGTCCCAGTGAGCAAGCAATGGCCAAAAGTCACCCCCTCCACACACACAAAGCTCAGTCCAGTGTTCCTCACACACTGGGTGTAAATCTTGTTCCATTCCTCCAAGCTACAAGCTGCTTTGCTTTAGTCTTATCTCTAGGACTCTCCACAGACAGCAGTTCAGAAAGCAGCTACCACGTGCCACTGGCTAAGGCAAGCCAGTCTCTCTACATCTTCCTTAGAAAAACAAACCAGACTCTCTACTGCCCAACTCACTGACAGTCTGAGAGCTTCAGAGCACTTCTCAATGAGGTCTGTGTCAAGATGGAGGGCAGAGAAGAAAAGTCCTGTTACCTGCTGAGAACAACCCTTTTCTTTTCCTTTTTTTTCTCTTTCTTTCTTTCTTTCTTTCTTTTTTTTTTTTTCTGGTATTTTGAGACAGGGTTTCTCTGTAGCTTTGGAGCCTGTCCTGGAACTAGCTCTTGTAGACCAACCAGTCTGGCCTCAAACTCAGAGATCCGCCTGCCCCTGCCCCGAGTGCTGTGATTAAAGGTGTGCGCCACCACCTCCCGGCTGGAACAATCCTTTTTTACACTACGGATATATTATTCTCATTGGTTAGAAAGCAGACAGGCCAGTAGCTGGACAGGAAGTTAGGCAGGAAAGTCAAACAGGATGGGAAGGAGAGTGGAATCAAGAGAGATGCCAGTCAGCCGCACAGGAAGCAGACATGCTAGAAGACAGGTGAAGACACTAGCCACGTCACAATATGTAGGTTACTAGAAACGGGTTCGGTGATAAGAACTAGTTAGTAATAAGCCTAAGCAATTCGGTCGAGCATTTATAACACGAAGCCTCTGAGTGGTTATTTAGAACTGGGCGGTCAGGACAGGAAAATCTCCATTTACAGTCACCACTGAGCCTCATCCCTGCCCACATACTCTAACCCCAACACCTCTCAACAGGACCTTTAAGTCTCGTGTATGGAAGGTCACGTCCCAGCAGGAGAGGTCTGGATTCTCAAGGTCTCTGACCTCCAGGTCACTAGCTGCTCAGGGGGAATCTCTGCAAGTTTTTCACATCTCAGCCCATCCATGTAGAGGAAGAAGCCCTCCTGTGTGTTTAAGGTTCTAAAAAGACCTCACGCCTTCCTTCAGTGTCCAGCAGGGACAGACAGGGCTCTGCAGGGACTCCCTGTGCCACAAAGGCTCACAAGGCAAAAAGGAAACTGAAATCTGGACTAGTAAGATGACTCAGAAGGAAAAGGAGCCTGCCATGGAACTGACCTGGAACCCACATGGTAGAAGAGAAAACACTGTCTTCTACCTCCACACAGGCACCATGAGCACCCCTCCCCTAACACACACAAAATAAATCAATCAACGCAATTTTTTTTTTAAAGGAGCTGGAGAAATGACAGATCTTGCAGAGAATCTCAGTTCAGTTCCCAGCACCCTCACAACTATCTTTAATTCCTGCCCCAGGTGGATCCAATGCCTCTTCTGGCCTAATGGGGCACCTGCACTCTGGTACACACACACCCACACCCACACCCACACCCACACCCACACACAGAATGAGAAATGTAAAACTGGTAAAATATTCAAAGAATACAATGTTAAAGATAAGTAAATTCAATGGAAGCCGCTTGGGCATGAAGTGAGCGGGAGCGGCAGAACCCAGGTGACTGACAGCTGTTTGGTAATCACATGTCAGGCACTAGGGCATGAAAGCCAGTGAGCAGGAGCAGGGGTCAGGGATGGGCTCCTCAGTGAACTAGAAAGAAGCAGGTGGACTGCCAGGCAAAGTGGGCATGGCTAAAACATGAGCCTGGCTGCTCTGGAATGAGAGGAGGCTCCTAGAGCTCAAGTGGTAAAGGAGAGTGCTGTGCTGTGCTGTGCTGTGCTGTGCTGGGCTGGGTTGTGCTGTGCTGTGCTGTGCTGGGCTGGGTTGTGCTGTGCTGTGCTGGGCTGGGTTGTGCTGTGCTGGGCTGTGCTGGGTTGTGCTGCGCTGCGCTGTGCTGTGCTGGGCTGTGCTGTGCTGTGCTGGGCTGTGCTGGGCTGGGTTGTGCTGGGCTGTGCTGTGCTGTGCTGGGCTGGGCTGTGCTAGGCTGTGCTGGGCTGTGCTAGGCTGTGCTAGGCTGTGCTGGGCTGTGCTAGGCTGTGCTGGGCTGTGCTGGGCTGTGCTGGGCTGTGCTAGGCTGTGCTGGGCTGTGCTAGGCTGTGCTGGGCTGTGCTGGGCTGTG